AGAATATGGACATTATAGTCACCATTAATGACAATAATCTTGGTATTTTGATATAAAAAGTTCGACCACTTGGTAAAATAAATAAATTGCAAAAATTACCTGAGTGAGAAAAGCTTTAGAATTATTTGTTTTCTATGACACTTAATTTGATATTTAATAAAAAATCAATAAAAAAACAACACCATACGAGTACGTTTCAGTTAGTTAACATTAGTTAATGCATTAGGTATCATGAACTAACAATGAGCAACAATTTTTAAAGCATTTATTAATCTAGGTTAATGTTAACTTATAAACACACAGCAAAAATGATTTTCTTATTTAATATTTTTGTTTTGTTTCCCAGTACAAATATATATATATATATATATATATATGTTGTAAAAAAAAAACTTTGTTAGTTCATGATTCCTAATGAATATTAACAAAAGTAATATTATTGTTAAGGTGTTAACCATAAAATTATATAAAATACAATAATACAGACTGGTCACAAGGATGAGCTAGTGTTTCTGTTTATTGGCTAGGGAAGCAAGGCCATGGTAAACAGCATGTCCTGCATTCAGAGATTAAAGTTACCTCAACAATCATTTTAACGGTTGGTAGGGTTGTGGTTAAGTTCTGTGGGTGTGGAGGCCTGACGGTGACTGGAACACAGCCGGCGTACAGACAGCCATAGAAAGTGGCGATCAGATCAATACCTGCAAAGTAGAAAGACAGAGAAGTATTGAGCCCCACAAAACATGAGAGCTGAACACCCTTTATTAGACCACAGTAATATAAGTCTCTTTCTATCTTACCAGGAGGATAAACGAGTGCTACATGGTCTCCAGTATTAAGTCGGCCTCTTTCCATCAGCGCTACTGCCACACGCTCTGCCCGCTTGTGCAACTGTACACAGGAGGCTGTGTTGGCCACAGTGCCCTGAAAAATAAAAAAGACATAAGATGACAGTAAATATACACAATCTGACTCTGAATACTATGTTTCCTGGGCTAAGGGATGATGAGTTTTGTACCTTGGCATTGAGCAGCAGAAATAGAGGGTGATCTGGAGTGGCCTGAGCTCTCCACTGCAGAACATCTTGCATATACAGGAACTACAAGAGGAGAGACGATACATTCAGACAACAGTATACTTCAAGATGAAGCAGTGTGATAAAGAAGTGCACTTAATTGTATTGAATGTGCACTTGTAGTGTACTTCAAATGTTAGAAGTGAATTGTACTTGCAGATATTATAATATTAATGAAATTAAAATCCTTCAAGAAAGCACACTTTCATGACTGTGTTTCTTAACACACTTAAGTACACTTTTAAAAAGTGCACTTTGATGTCAAATTAAAAGTTTGACCTGAATCATATTTTAATAATCTTTTGTTGTACTTTAAAGTACACTTATTTTGATGTGTTGACTAACATACTAAAGCCCATGTAAAGTACTTAATTATAATTTATCTGTAGTGTGTTATTCAATACTACATTTAAAGTTAATATATTTTAAATAATGTGCAATTAAAATATATTTATGACATTTAAGTATATTGTATTTTACCATAAATGCTTTACAGTACATTCAGCAGTACTTTAACCATATTTCAAAGACTATGGTATTAATTATGAAATTACGTATAAAGTACTTACGTCTTACTTAAGTGGGTCAAACAAGCACTCTAAATTTCAGCTACTTGCATTTAATAAAAATTGTAACTATAATACATTTTCATTTAAATACAATTAACATGCAGTTAAGTGTCCGAAAACTTACATTCAGTTCACTTTTAAGTATATTCTTTTAAAAGCTATTATTTCCATAATAATTACTCTTTTTTTAAAAGCATGCTAAAGTGTACTTCTTTTTCACCACTGACCTATGTGGTTTGAGAGAGTGAAAATGGGATTGATCTTTACCTGATCATTGTCTTCCAGCTGTGAAACATCTCTCCCACAGGCCTGTGCAATCCTCTTTCCTGCCACTAGGTTTCCGACTATCATGGAAGCAGGACCCACCTCTGAAACAATAGAGACAACAGGTCATGTGATATGCAAAATATACCACACCGATCAAAACAATGAAAAGCAACCACCCAACACACACACAGGACTCACCTGTACCCGGCTGCTTCTGTCTAGGTTTGGGAAGGTTGGTGACGCAGGTATGAGGACACATGAGGACGTTGCAGGGGTGCAGAGCTCCCTCTAGGAAGCGCTGTTTGGTCTCTGTGATGTGGATGCCGCCCAGAGGAGCTTTGGGTAGTGTGTTAGCTGGCACCAGAGCCAGACAGTACACTCCCACCTGATGGATGCTGTCGATAGCCTAAGAGTGAGACAGAAAGTGGTTAAGAATATATGCATGGGTGTGTGTGTGAGTACTGTTTTGCGCACATTATAAGTAAAAGCTTCGGACACACCTACTCATTCTTTATTATAACTATTTTTGAATTTTTGAAAAAAAAAAAAGTAATCTGTAAAATATTATAGAATTCATGTTAAAAATGCAACATATAAATACAGGAATGTTATTTTTCCTTTATACAAGTTGTTGCATTTTCAAAACTGAAGTATGACCCACATGAACTGCACAAATTGCTACATTTTCAAATACATTTATTTCAAGCATGGATACCATAGCTTCTACTTTTTGTGTGCATATGTGTGTTCACCTGCAGCACACGACTCATCCACTGGAAGCTGTCCTCCTCTGAACCGTCTGGTCTCTGTTCTGCCACCACAACAATGCGTTCATCATGCAGCACTGATACAGAGAAAACCGCAATCCTGAAAGAGAACAGAGATGCAACCTTCAGTCTGAGCAGAGATGCACACTCATCTCAAGTCAAGAGTAAATGGCAGTTGAATTACCTTCCTCTGTACACAAACTTCATGGGCTCCACGGCCAGTGCTGTGGCCACCACATCATCTGCGTTATGTCTCCGTCCACTCACCACCATCAGTCCGTCCATCTTTCCCACCACAAACACCAGATTATCCTGAAACACAAGAAACAAACCCAATCCAAAAAAGATGAACCCCGCATGTTGATATATAAGACATGGAAGAGTTATGCAGCTTCAAAAAGGATAGTTTTGGCTTCAGACAACTGAACCCACCGGCCCGATGAAGCCCAGGAGAGATGTGCGTGTGAAGGGTCTGTCACCGATGGGAGCTCCTGATGATGTGACTGGAATGGTCTGAAAGTAAGCAATACAACTGATAAATTTCAGTCGAGTTTACAATGTTATCAAGTCCTTATTTTAATTAATTTTGATGATAGCACATAACTCTAAAAGCTTTGCAGTGATGACTAGTGGTGTTTGATTTGTGAACTCTATAGTTATCATTCATTATTATTTATGCTTTTTTCTATATCTTTTATAAAGTTATGCCAGAAGCTGACAAAATAATATAATTGATCTATATTGTTGTAGGGAAAATGCTAATGATGTCTTTCTAGAGTCACTTAGTTGATTTCAATAAAGTATAATAATAAGACTACCAGTCGGAAATTAATGTTTTTAACGAGTGAATAATTCAACGACTCACTCAAAAAGATGCACAATACACAAACTGGTGTATAATGTAACCTACAGAAATCCCACTGAATGAATCAGAATGAATCTTTGACAGGTTCGAAGATTTGAGACACCGAAGTTAATCAAAATCGCTACCACTAGGGCTGCAAGTTTAACTGGAATCAAGATATTTGAAAGTCAAATATTGACTGAACATTTTAAGGCCAACACTAAATGTTTAAATATCCTTGGACCTTTTGTTTCTCCACACTAACCTCAAAAACATTCTTGGCCATGCCTGGCAGACCATAGTAGGAGATTCCTGTACTGCTGGAGCTCATACAGATTTCTCCAACCTCATCCATTCGACACAGGTACGGCGTGCCTTCAACCTGGATCACGCACACCAGCGCTGCACACACACACACACACAAACAGAGATGCATAGACAGTACATTAGTCCCCAAGAGAAATTCAAAATTCAAAATAATAGAATGTTAAACAAAGTGCTAAAAAGTAAAGCATTTATATACAGAGTTCTGGCATTAAACTCTAGATGGCGCAGTCCGATAGGTCTAACTCAATCTGACCTAATGACATCATTATCACATTGCACAGCTGATTGGTTCTCTCCTGTATCGGTAGCCAGGGTCACCATACTTTGCCACACGTCACGTCACTTTTATTTTTTATTTTTTTAATATATTATTAATACATGCGGTTCACATGGTTATTTCATGTATGTTATATTTGCAGCAGCAATATTTCTTACATGCTCACAGCAGCATGTTGTGGATGTATTGGCAGCAGCAAGTCTTGGTACTTGCTCTGCCGAAGCAGCAGCGTAGCAGATCTATTCCGCCAAGACCAAATATATTAACATTGTCATGTACATTACCATGCCAATCCCTCCGAGAGTAGTCATGACAGAACTACAGTTCATCCATCACACTATTCATTCACTCAAAACGGTTCATCAGTCTATGGATCAGTCCATCCATCAGTGAGAGTAAAGCAGGTCTCACCTCCAGGCATGACCTGTCCTACATCCTGGACAGTGAGCACAGAGAGCTTCTCCTCTGTGTCTACTCGAATCACCCCATAACTCAGACCACTCATGGACAGCACTGCCTTCCCCGGAGGAGGAACGCCCATCTCTGGAGGCCTGAAGACATACAAACACAGTCATTCAACATGGATTTGAGTTTTCTTTGGAATAGGATACCGCCATATGCAAATTCAAATGCAAATCCATTTACATTTCTGAGATGACAACTGGACTGCATTACATAATAAACATTAAAAAAGTAAGCAGTGTTCAGTGCATACTGTGCAGTATGCATGCAGTACAATAATAGTGGGTAAGTAGTCTTGTTGAAGTTGCTGAAATGTCATCAGTGTACCTGCGGATGGCGACGGTCATGGCCTCAGAGGAACTTGCACATGGGCAGATCACCTCTGGCCGCAGCCCACGGGCCTGAAAGACGTTGAGGAAGGCATCGCAGGACGAAATAGACCCTGCATTTCAATATACACAACATAAACAATGTTCTGGTGACAGTTCAGGATGTGTTCCATTCCATTTGAATTTATGATTGTTGTCAGATTGTTCTGTTTAAGTGTATACTCACATGGGTTAGCTCCATCAGCAACGATGAGCATGCGGAGAGAACTAAGACTGATGTCTCTCTGATCCCTCTGGGCTAAAAGTGACCAGTGCATGTCCCTGGATTTCACCACTGCTACACGCGCTGTTTGAAAAACACAGGACATGTAAATATGCAAACAGTCAGACAGCAGTTAATCGGTGTCCTGACACCACACCGGCAACTATTATTTTCTACTAACATTAGATGACAGGGCCTAAATGTATAATTCAGGTCACGGTCAGCATTTCATCTGCTACATTAAACAATATAGTAACAGCTATGATGTGAAATAGACGTTTACTGTCCATATAGAGACCAACTATTAACCTTAAAATTATGTCAGTGTGCAAAATCTGCAGAAAAATGTCTTGTTAGATATTTTCCTCTTTTTAAAAGGTTTCTCTCAAAATTAACACTTGTTCACAATGCTCTGTATGCAGAAAATATAAAATAATGTGGAAAAAAAGCTTTTAATCCAGTAAAAAGTATTTTATAAATAGGTTTTTACTGTGAAAAGTTCACAACTCTTCTTTCTGTAGTTACATCATTACACCTGTATGTGGCAAACGTCTTGTATGAGTCTTTTTTTTAATATTACGAATTAATCTTCATACCACAGATAATCTGAAGGAATTTTAAGAAATATACAGTACACTACTGTCCAAAATTTGAGGTCGGTGGATTTTTCAAATATTTTTGAAAGAAGTCTCTTATGCTCACCAAGACTGCATTTATTTGATCAAAAATACAGTAAAAACAGTAATATTGTGAATTATTATTACAATTTAAAATAACTGTTTTCTATTTGAATATATTGTAAACTACAATTTATTCCTATGATGGCAAATCTGAATTTTCAACATCATTACTCCAGTCTTCAGTGTCTCATGATGCTTAAGAAATCATTCTAATATGCCGATTTGCTGTTCAAGAAACATTTCTTATTATTACCAATGTTAAAAACAGGTGTGCTGCTTAATATTTTTGTGGAAACTATGGTGCATTTTTTTCATGATTCTCTAATGAACAGAACAAACAGAAAAAGCATTTATTTAAAATAGAAATCTAGACGACAAATGTTGGCAAAATTGATTCATTTCAAACCAGATGCAAATTCTTTATCGAACAGGTTTCCACTTCAACTCACTTAACATCCCTTTTTTTTCGTAAGAATCCAGAAAATGTGTCTGGAATCAACTCTTGGAATTGAGTCTATAAAGAGCCTCTAATCTGAAGAAAAAATGCAGTTAACTGCAATGACCTGTTAACAATTTTATTTTTATTTTTTTACATCACATGAACAACTACATCTCAAATCAGTTCATTTGGTTTATCCACATGTAAGTGGTCATAGCTCTATGTTAAAAGATCATGACACACACAGGCAGTCTGACTTTAGGCAGTACACTCACCTTTATAGGTGTGGACTTTCTGGATCCAGGAGAGAGGGTTGACCTTCATCAGCGAGTACGGGATGCTGATCACGTGCATGCGGTTCATCACACTCTGAACACACATCACCATGACGGCGGTTGCCAAGGACATAGATTAAGAAAGCAAAAGACAGCTGGATGAGTGCAAGGGGATCTAACTCCTTATCCATGTGTATGAGTGTATGTGAATGTTTCACACCAGATGTCAACCACATGTGTGTCTGACTTACCGTGAGGACCCCGTGCCACAGACCAGCGTCTCGTTTGAAGTCCAAAACATTTGTTATAATTTCACCTATACAAGTTAATAAAAACACAGAAAACATTTTGAGGTGGATAATGCAAAAAGTATTTACAAGAAATGATGTGGTGTATGTGACAGCAGCAAGTAAAACATCATAAATCATATCAAAACAACTTTTGAACAATCTTTTGTTGTGTAGATCTTAGTTACCCCTGAAAACAATTACATTTGCAATCAAATTCCGTTTTAAAGGTGTATACAGAGGCAGAAGAATAGGGTAAGAGTGTCTTTACTGCAGTAGCTGCTCTGTGTGGAGTGTTAAGGGTTTGTGAGCAGTTATTTAGAGATTGGAAGTAGGACACTCTAGACCTGCAGTGGCCGGTCTCTGAAGAGCCTGTGTGTGATACGTGTAAGTCACACACACTCACCCTCTGTGTAGCCACAGGCCTGTGTGAGCGCATGACAGTGAGCCAACATAGCAGAGTGAGAAACTGTGATGCCCATAGTGCTGCCCTCCTTACTGGTCTTATACTGTGTACAGAAAGAGAGACTTAGAGTTAGAGAGATGGATGGATAGATGAACGGATGGACAGACAGGAGGATGGACAGATAGATACATAGATGGACAGAGACAGATAGGTGGATGGATGGATGGACAGACAGACAGATGGCTAGGTAGATGGATGAATAGACAGACAGACATTTAGATAAATAGATAGATGGACGGATGGATGGAGACAGACAGACAGACAGATAGATAGATAGAAAGATAGATGGATAGATGGATAGATGGATGGACAGACAGACATTTAGAAAGATAGATGGACGGATGGATGGAGACAGAGATAGATAAATAGATAGATAGATAGATAGATAGATAGATAGATAGATAGATCTATCCATCTATTGGTCATTATGGCAAAATAAACATTATCCCGTTAAGTTAGTGCGGTTCTGACCTCTATGTATGCGATCTCATTGCTAGTGTCTCTTATTGGAGGATGCCAGTCCTTAGGAGGCTTTACAACATGCTTTCCATCAGTAACGAACCACAGCAGTCGAGGCCAGCCTGTAAAAACACACACACACACACACACACACACACACATTATACCCGAGGCTAAAATACAGCACCACTAAATAAAGATGAAGTAACTGGTTTGCGTGAATCACCCACCCTTAAAAGTGACAACTTCTCCGGTCTGTGCTTTGGGCAGGCCCTTCTGACAGGCATCAGTGGTCAGGGCCAGAGTGACCCCACAGCTGCCCAACAGAAACCCCACCTGCTGACTGCCTGCATCCTGATGAGAGGAGACACAGACAGTCATCAATACAACACTGATCTGCAGTCCACTCACTCCCTCTCTGTCTTTCATCTGACGGTCTGCAATAACAGTCTCAACAACACAACACTAAGGCAACGTGTGTTTTTGTGTCCTTCATTTTAAAGGATTAGCCGTCTCCAGCAGGAACATCAGCTCTATTAATCAAACCGAACACGCTTCAAAGCAGCACAGAGACAGCTAATGAAACCTTTAGACAGGAGGCATTCAGGTCATTTGCAGAAGAGAAAAACCCAAGGTCTGAGTGACTGGTTATTCATACATGCTCACATACTCACAGTACCAGTGTATACTGACATCTTCAAGAAAACAGCACTTATCTTTTGACTACCAGTATATTATTTATGCCCATACCATACAGTGTTTTGAGTTTTGGAAATCCAAAGGATAATGATGTGATGTCAGGACATCAGGGTGTCGTATTGTGTCTTTTCCTGTAGGGGGCTCTATTGTGATTGAAATCTGTGAGAGTGTCATCTGTGTGCTGGTGTAATGCTGATTAATACCTTTCGAGTGAGTGGCACCTCTATGGGCACAGGCACCAGCTCCGCCAGGAGGCATCCATAAAATGCCACCATAAACATCACAGGATCATTGTTGGGGAACACAAGAGCAACCTGCAGAGATAAACACAATAGATTTATAGGTTAACTACATTAAATGTAGTTAAATGATAAATATCTTGTGTTAATGTTGTTTACTGCTACTGTTTTTGTTTTACTTCTTTTATTCTGGGCCTGTTACACCTAGTATTAACATCCATCGCTTGGGTATAATTATGTGTTAAGTATAACTAAGTATTATTTCAGTGTTAGTATTAATATTAATTAAAAAAATAATGAATTAGCTTTTATTTTAAAATTTTCAGTTTCCATTTTAATTTTTTGTAATTTTGTGCTTTTGTCATTTTATTCTTTATTATTATTTTCTAATATTTCTATTTAGCTTAAATTTATTTTATTATAATTTTTTACTTCAGTTTTAGTTTTTTTTTTTTTCACTTAGTTGGCAAGACAACATTTCTAATTTTCATTTATGTTTTAATCTCGGTTAAGTTTTTTTTAATGTAATATTTATATTTTATTATATTTCAGATTTTTTTCAATTAACAAAAACAATTTTTTATACTTTTTACAAATGTTTAGCTTTAGTTAACCATAACAACACTGTAACAACTAAAATGTACTTCTTACCAAGCAAACGAAAGTGAAGTTTCAGTCAGAATTATTTTGCCTCAATCACGAAAATGTTTCATTTAAATTACATTTTTATCAAAGCCAAAAATGGCAAAACTAAAGCTGTATTTCAAATGGTTTGGGTTAATTCAGTGCATCATCTGGGTATTTAAAGTGCACTTTTTCTTGTTCAGTGTGAACATACTACTCACACTATTTATATTACAAAATACACTCTCAGAAAAAAAGATACAGAAGCGGTACCTTTGTACCTTTTTTACCCCTAACGAGTGCATATTAGTACCTAAATGGTACATTAACACCACAGTAACAACTTTTGTACCTTTTTTTTCTGTGTAGCTTAGAATAGTGCATAACTATACAGCTAGAATATGATATCATGGTAACATGCTATGTCTTTGATCAAATGGGATCTTGCATGACAGCACCAAAAACCTTTAAAAACCTTGTTTTGGTGCACTGACTGTGTGTTGGGACAGTCCTTTACTGTCTGGGGCACATCTTCTCTGACCACCTCTGAAAATGATTGGAGTGATTGTTCACAAAACTATATTTAGCAGTGTTCACTTGTAATTGGTTAAGACGAGACGGACAGTTAAAGGGTTAGTTCACCCAAAAATGAAAATTAGGCTGCGTTTTACTCACCCCCGATGCATCCTGGTTGTATATGACTTTCTTCTTTCAGACGAATCCAGTCGGAGTTATATAAAAAATTGTCTTTGATCTTTCAAGCTCTATCGTTGCACTCAGCGGGTGTTGCATTGCATCAGACCAAAAGAAGTTAAATAAAAAGCGCCCATCCTTAATAAAAAGTGTCTCACACGGCTCCGGGGGGTGAACAAAGGCCTCCTGTAGCGAATCGATGCGTTTTTGTAAGAAAAATATCCATATTCAAAACGTAATAATCACTTGAATCTAGCTTGCGCTCACTGTTGTAAAACGGAAGCAGTTCCGGGGAATTACGTATGAGGTCAGCTTTGCGCATGCAAAAGAAGTGACGCACGCGGAGAGATCGAAACAAAACAACGGTCACTAATTAGAAGTACAAAACGAAGTAAGGAAACTTTGCTTCTTTTGATCCTGTAAACAAACGTTGGTTTTCACGAGAC